CTTAACTAAATAAAAAGGATCCCAGGTGTCTTCACGTACTTTGCAGTGTGGAAGCACCAAGCTAAAGCTGTATGGTTCAGAAGGCCTTGACAGGAAGACGCGTGAAATCCTCATGAGGAAAACTATACAACTTCCCTTGTGTGCTTCCATGGGGGGCGATTCGGAGAGCGAAGACATCAATGCTCACAAATATGGGATGAGTCCAAGTGATCTGTGAATGATACCTGAAAGAATAAACAGGCAAGCACAGCTTCTTTTTCCCTTGGAAAATAAAAAGAATAAAGTAACTCCACTATTAATGATGTGCTTGGGCTGGGTGGGGTGACATGTACCTTTAATCCCAGGACTTGGGAGGCAGAGGAAGGTGGATCTCTGTGAGTTGGAGGTCAGCCTCTTTACATAGCAAATTCCAGGTCAGACAGGGCTGCATAGTTGGATCCTGTGTCAGAGAAAAAAAGGAAGAAAGAAAAGTTTCTAATGTCACCAAGTCTCTGGGATCAAAGCCTGGCCTTTGGTGGCCCTGACAACTAGGTTTGGCTGCCCACCACAATACAGTCAGGCGAGCGACAGAGAAAAGAGGGTACTTATTCATGTGGCCCACAGTGTGAAGAGGAGGAAGTGAATTCAGGGACTCCCCCACAAAGTCCATCTTTAGGGTATTGACTCAAGGTTTTGCTTTAAACAGAAGGCAAGAGGTACGAAAACCTAAGGTGCCCTAGTTGGAGATCTGGTTCCTCCCATCACCAATTCCTTGTTCTTGAGTCTGTCTTGCTAGTCCGTCAAGTTGTCTGAACTGTGCAGAATCTCTTCTTCCTCTGGCTGACACCAGGCTTCAACCTTTCTCCTGCCCTCACATGAGGTTTCCGGGGAAATGTAACCGGGGTGGGATCCATTTCAACAGTCTGACAGGGGAAGGGTCGGGACACAGGGGTCTCCTTAGCCTGTCTCTCAAGCCAGAGCAGTTTCTCTAGCTGTGGCTCAGTGGAACGGCACTCATCCAGCAGGGCAAGGCCCTAGGTTCTGTCCCCAGCACCAGAAAAATTATCAATGAAGCTGAATGGGAATTAAAGTTGCCAGGCGTTGGTTGCGCACACCTTTAATTCCAGCGCTCAGAAGTTCGTTTAAGGTCCTCTTCACCTACACACTTAGTTTGAGGCCAGTTTGGAATACATGAACCCTTGTATAAATAAGCAGATAAATAAATAGCAGGATGTAAATGTGAAACGCCGTGTGGATGCGTGGTGGTGTTGTCTTTGCTGCTGTTTGTTCATTCTGTTTTTTTTTTTTCCATTTGTGTGTGGAGGCCAAGGATCAACATTGCAGCTTTGCGTACCTTCCTCAATCACTCCCCAGTCCCCACCTCTTGTGAGGTTTTAGAGTTTTTAAATTTTATTTTCTGTATATGAGTGTCTTACCTGCACATGTGTACCTATGTGCATGCCTGGTACCCACAGGGTCAGTATAGAGCATCAGATCCCCTGGAACTGGAGTTGTGGATGGTTATGAGCTGCTGTGTAAGTGCTGGGAACTGGACCTACCTGGCTCATTGGTCTATTTTTACACAACAGCCGTGCCTGGGTTGATCTCCACAGTTTACAACCTGTTCATTTGAAAGCTTTCAGATGAACAATCTTGTCTTGTCTGCAGGTCACTCACTAGGTAACCTGGGATGTTAGTAATTTTCTGCTCTAAACTTCTAGTCAGGGTGGGCAGGTGGCCTATCTGCCAGCATGGCCCAGTGTCAACTGTTTGTCTGTAATGGGACCTAAGAAATTTTTAGTTTTCAAATGAGCCATCAGCTTTTATTCCTTAAAATCAGCATTGATGATCTGGCCTTGGTAGGCAATGAAGAAGCTGAATGGGGCAAGAGTCTTGGGCACTAACGCTCCAGCAGCGGCCCTCAGAGTGGGCCAGGGAGTCCTGGTGGTTCCTCAGACCATTGAAGAGTCTGTGATGGGAGACAGCTGAGGACTGAAGTAGGAGGACCTGAGCTTGACCTCCGGAAGCCACAGACAGTGCCAGACATGGTATTATGTCCCTGTAATCCCAGAACGAGGGACCTGGAGACAGACGGGTCCCAGGGGCTCACCGAGCAGCTGCCTAGCCTAACGGGTGATCTCCAGCTCTCATGATGGACCTTGTCTCAAAGGAGGCAGACAGCATACCTGAAATTGTTGTTCTCTGGCCTCACACATATGTGCAAACCTTTACAAGAGAATGCACATACGTGAGATGCATACATGCAAGTACATTTAGAAGTGCTTACGTACACATGACACACACACACACACACAGAAGTCTGTGTTGTTGGGACTATTGTCACTGTGAAGTTAAGATACATTTTCATTCTTCATCTACTGTGAATAAGCTGTGAGGTTTTCCATGAGTGGCATGGCGTGACAGTGTAATAAATACCTGAAGAAATAGTTACGAGAATCTAACTACTGTACTATTCTATATCCCTACTGTGTAACTCTGGCTGGCCTGGAATTGGTCATCTAGATCAGTCTAGTAAAGCGTTCACAAAGATCTGCCTGCCCCTCTGTCTCTGTGGTGGTTTGAATATAGCTTTGTTTTTATTTACCTGTTTATTTCTTTATGTTTGTTTTTCAATATGTGGTTTCTCTCTGTAACAGCCTTGACTGTCCTGGAACTTACTCTGTAGACCAGGCTGTCCTCAAAGTTGGAGATCCACTTGCCTCTGCCTTCAGAGTGCTGGGATCAAAGGTGTGCACCACCACCACCGGTCTGTGGTAGTCTGAATGGAAATGGTCCCCATAGGCCTACAGGGAGTGGCATTACTAAGTGTGGCCTTGTTGGAGTAAGTGTGTCACTGGGGGCGGTCTCAGAAGTTCACGACAGCCCTACTGGCTCACTCTCTCTTCCTGCTGCCTCTAGATCCAGATGTAGAACTCTCAGCTACCTCTCCAGCGTATGTCAGCCTGAGTGCCATCATACTTCCCATCATGACGATAACATACTAAACCTCTGAACGAAATGCCAAGTCCAACGAATGTTTCCTTATAGGAGTTGCTGTGGTGATGGTGTTTCTTCACAGCAATGGAAACCCTAAGCCAGACTCCCAGCACTGGGATTAAAGGCATGCACCACTGTGCTGACTTAGTTAATGTCAATGTGATGTAAACAAGAGTCACTGAGAAGAGAGAACCCCATCTGAGGAAGTGTTTCAACAAGACTGGCTTGTGGGGTGTGTCTGTGGGGGCATTTTCTTGATTAATTATTGATATGAGAAGGCCCAGCCCACTGAGGGCAGCGCCATGCCTGGGCAGGTGGTCCTGAGTTATATTAAAAAACAGACTGAACAATCGCGGGGAGCAAGCCAGTGAGCAGCTCTCCTCCAGGTTCTACCCTGAGTTCCCTCCACGATGGGCTGTGATCAGGATGTGTAAGCCAAATAAACCCTTTTCCTCTCCAGATTGTTTTTGGTCACCGTTTGCCACAGCAATAGGAAGCTAAGCAGGACAGCCACCACACCTGGCATGTAGTTATTTTTCATTAAAATTCAAAATGCTATAACAGAATACCTTGGGCTGGGCAACTTATAAACAAATCTAATTCTCACCGTTCTGGAGCTTGAGAGCAAGGTAGCTGAAGTTTTGACGTCTGATGAGGCAGGGCCAGCAGATTCGGCCTGCTTCTCCTAGGTAGCATCTTTTGTGTCCTCACAGGGTGGTGTCGGTGGGGAGAACAAACCCCCAGGAGACTCATTTGTGAGGGTGTCCATTTTATTCACGAAGTCTCCTTCAGCCAATACCGTCCCCTCGGGGGTTAGCATGCTCTCTCTCTCTCTCTCTCTCTCTCCCTCCTTCTTCCTCTAGTCTGTGTCCCTCCACACCCCCCCCCCTTTTTTTTTAAACAATGCTAGAGGTAGAGCTCAGGGACCTGAGCATATGCTACCACCCATGTACACCACCCGTGCACATCTCAGCCTTTGTATTTGAGATTGAGTCTTAGTACATAGCCAAGGCTAGCTTTGAACTCTGGATCCTCCTGCTTCAGGGTCCTAAATTCTGATTTTACAGGTGTGCATATCATAACTGATAGGTTTTGCTTTTGTTCAGCACAGGGTTTCTTTGAGTAACAACCCTGACTATCCTGGAACTCTGTAGACCAGGCTGGCTTCAAGCTCACTGAGATCTGCCTGCCTCTGCCTCCTGAGTGCTGGGATTAAAGGTGTGCGCCACCACTGCCAGGCTTGGCATTAAGTTTTGATATATTAATCTGGAATGGCATTAACATTCAGACGACAGCAAAAGGTTATTTATATTAACTAATGTTGTGTCTATTTTACTCTTTTGGGGGCCTGCCACCCAGCTCCCAAATAAATCAAACACAGACTCTTATTCTTTCTTATTAATGCCAGACCTTAGCTTATCTTGTTTCTTTCCAGCTCTTCTAACTTAAATTATCCTATCTACCTTTTGCCTCTGTGTTGTTTTCTTTTCTTACTTCTGTGTATCTTACTTTCACTCTTACTTCTTGGCTGGCTGGGTGGCTGGCCCCTCCCCTTGTTCTCTCTTGCTCCTCCTTCTATTTAATCCTCTCTGTCTGCCAGTCCCGCCTACCCTTGCTCCTGCCTTGTTATTGGCCGTTCAACTCTTTATTAGACCATCAGGTATTTTAGACAGGCAAAGAATCACAGCTTCACAAAGTTTAACAAATGCAGTATATAAATGCAAATAACAAAATGCAGTATATAAGGTCACAGACCTTAAAATAATATTCCCCAACAAACTGATGATAGACCTATTATTATTATTTTGTAGTTTATCATTTGGGAGGGTCTCTTTATATAGCCCTGGCTGAGCTGGAGCTCTCTATGTAGCTCAGGCTGGCCTCAAACTCACAGAGACTGGCCTGCCTCTCTAGTGCTGGGGTTAAAGTTGAGTGCCACCCCAGATGATAGACTTGTTTTTTTTGGTGTAATTAATAAATAAAACACTTAATGTTTTAAAATGATTTTAACTTCTTTCCTTATTTTGGCTTTTTTGACACAGGATCGCCACATGTAGCCTAGGCTATCCTCAAACTTCCGTTTATTCTCTTACCTCTGCCTCCTGAGTTCTGAGATTATAGGTAGGTGTATGCCACAACTGTTGGGTTTAAATTTTTGAAAAGTTATTTATTTACTTTGTATATGTGCTCGCTCATGTGCCACCGTGCTTGTGTGGAGGTCAAAGGGCAACTTGCAGGAGGTTCTTCTCTTTTTCCACCAGGTGGGTCCCAGAGATCGACCTCGGGACTCAGATTTACCCACAGAGCCATTCCACTGACCCTAAACTTTAAATTGCTGATGTAATTAAAAAAAAAAAAAAGATCAAGTGTCCTCAATAGCATTTAGGACCGTAAAGGGACCCACCAGGCTCCTGGACCAGGACAGAGTTGTCCCTTTAAATCCTGTGTGGAAAAGTTATAAATAGTGTGAAAATTCTATCCAGTCTTTCTCCAGTGCCGCTGAGGCAGAGGCGAGGCAGCGGGCCACACTGTCAGCTTTGGAGGCAGAGACTGAGGTCCTGGATCTGCTACTAAGAGGGTGTGGGATCCCGGGCAAAGTCCTCCTCCTCTAGTGTCCAGCTTCTGCACTGGGATAAAGTATCCCTGGGGTGTGGTCCAGCTTTTGGAGGGCTGAGTCACTGGCACAAATCTCTTCAGGGAAGGGAGGGAGGGAGGGGGAGGGATTTGCTCTTCATTTTACAGAAAGGGAAGTTAAGGTCCAGAGGCGTGACAAGAAAAAAAATCGCACAAGGTCAGGTTGAAGTCAGCACAGGAGGCCGGAACTGAGGTAAGACCTTAGTCTCCTGGGCTAAGGCTCAGCCCTCAAAACCAGCCCGTTGATAATATCCGTACGTGCTGGGTGTGGGTGCCCCGGCCTTTGATCCGGCAGAGGCAGGCAGATCTCTGTGAGGTCCAGGACAGCTGGACTGCTTACGTGGCAAGTTCCAGACTAGTAAAGGGCTATATGATGAGACCCTGTCTCAGAAAATTAAAGTATTTGTGTGTACTAGCGCTTTTAAAAACTCAGCTTTTGGAACAATCCCACGCCTGAGGAAGTAAGAATGGGGCTTGAGAGATGGTTCTGGTTAAGAGCACTGACTGTTCTTACTGAGGCCTGGGGCTCATTTCCAAATATCCACACGGTGACTCACAACCAACTCCAGTTTCAGAGATTCTGATGCTCTCTTCTGGATGCTGCTGATACCAGCTCTCGGGAGGCTCAGATTCACTCATACAAATACAACAAAAATAAATGCATTTTAAAAAATATGTATGCATCAGATGACATGTTTTAAAAAGAAAAAGGACTATACAGAGAAATCCTGTCTAGAAAAAAAAAAGCCAAAAAAACAAAAACAAAGAAAGAAAGGAAAAAGTAAGAATAAAAAAGCAACGAAGGTCCATACTTTCAGGCTGCAGTGTGGCCCAGCCCCCTGGATTCTGGTACCCACAGTTATGGAAGCTCCCACAGACTCCATCCTGCGGGAAGGAAGGAAAGGATATTGTCAACACATTCCTGTATGGAGCTTCCACTTTGCTCAGTCTGAGTCCTCAGGGGAAAGCCAGCACTGTTGAGGCTGTCCCTGGGGAAAGTCACCTGCCATCAGGTGCCACCCACCAGGATTCCTTTAGCTGAGATAAGAGGTCCTAGAGGGCTAGATAGTGGCAAAGGTTGAGGGCTGGTAAGTGGCGCTGTGGCTGTAGCCTGGGGTAACCTTGTGGCAGTGGAATGCAGCCCTGCCACTGGTACAGGGTAGGAGGTGTTTACCAGGTCCCGCAGGAATGCTGATCTGCTTTAGCAAGGACGTCAAGCTGGCCCAGTACTTGCAATTGTAGTCATCGGATTTTTAGAAATTCTTTGTCCTTCTGAGCTCTACCATCTGCTGGCGGGCCCTTTATAATGTTCAAGACCTTGTTGGTGTCTCTAATCTCTGACTCGTCCAGAAATGTCATATGGCTATTACTCACTGTTTTAATATGTAGGCTGTTCTAGTGGTTTCCACTGGGCCTTTTCTGGATGGAAATCAACGTGGAGGTTCTACCAGCCGGGAAGTATACTTTATGCACTCAGATACCTACAGTGTTAATCTGATTTGTTTTTTTGTTTTGTTTTGTTCAGTTTTTTCCTTTCCTTTCCTTTCCTTTCTTTTCCTTTCCTTTCCTTTCCTTTCCTTTCCTTTCCTTTCCTTTTCTTTCCCTTTCTTTCTTTCTTTTTCCTTCCTTCCTTCCTTCTTTCCTTTCTTTCTTTCTTTTCTTTTTCTGAAATAGGGTTTCTCTGTGTAACCCTGGCTGTCTTGAAACTCACTCTGTGTAGGCCAGGCTGGCCTCCTGCCTCTGCCTCCCAAGTGTTGATATTAAATGTATGTGCCACCGTCACCTGCTGTTAAGCTGATTTATTTTGCTATAATAAAATACCAGAGGCAGGCTACTTTATGAAGGAAAGAGGTTTCTTTTGGATTATTGTTTTGGAGGTACAAGGTTGAAGGGCCTTGTGTAATGATAGCCTCCCTTGCTGACCCTTTGATATCCCATCATTCTTACTGAATTAATTCAGGGAGTCTGTTTTGATAACTGAATTTCCCACTTACGCATTACCTTCAAAGAATAATCACCACAGAGCTTATTGTTAAAGCCAGCTGGGCAGCGGTGGCACACACCATCAATGCCAACACTCAGGAGGTAGAGGCAGGCTGATCTCTGTGAGCTCGAGGCCAGCCTGGTCTAAATAGTGAGTTCCAGGACCATCAGGGCTATAGAACAGATGCTGGTTGAAATTAAAATAATAAAGAAAGAAAGAAGAAAGAAAGAAAGAAAAGGGAGGAAAGAGATAAGAAAGAAAAGGGAGGAAAGAAAGAAGAAAGAAAGAGAAAGAAGGAAGGAAGGAAAGAAAGTTGCTGATATAGGGCTGGGGATGTAACTCAATTGTTCGGTGCTTGCCTAGCCTACCCAAAGCTCTGGGTTCTCCCCTGGCACTATAACCAGGGTGTGAAGGTGTGTGTCTACAGTGCCGGCACCAGACCAGCCCCAGGAAGGCAGAGACGGGGATCTCTGAGGCCGGGCAGCCTGTCCAGCTGAATTGGTGAGTTTCAGGTTCAGTTGAGAGACCTTGATTCAAAAGATGTTGGAGAGCAATGAAGACCTCTGACATCACCCTCTGCCTTCCTTCCATGTGCTTGTATACAAACAGTGCACTTTACAGACACACACACACACAGGTGCACATATAAACAAACACATGCACATGCAGAAATGCTGATGTGGGGCTAGGGCATACAGAAAAGCCAGGAAACTGTCTCCAGCACCATATACAGCTCGGGTGGTGGCATATGTCTGTAATCCCAGGCAGGATTCAGGAGGCGAAGGCAGGAGAATCAGAAGGTAGTGGCAGTAGCTCACGCCTGTAATCCTAGCACTGCAATAGGATTGCAGTGTGTTTGAGACCAGCCTGGGCTACGGAGTTCAAGGCTAGTATGGCTTAGCAGGACTCAAAGGAACTATGGTGTTATCACCAATGCCTTCCTGAAGACCTCGGAAGAGTGGACCCTGCTGGAATGGACAGCGAGCTGATTCCACACCGTGAGTCTGCTCCAGGTTTGCTCTGCCACACTGGGAGTCCTGACCTCTTGGCCTCATTCTGTCTTTGGGTATAACAGGCTCCCAGGGACCCTTCAAGCCAAACAAACTAGCACCTTTACCTCAGAACCTCCACCTGGTGCTCTCTGTATTGTATTCTTCAATGAGATACCAGTTAGGGGCAGCCAGAGAGGAGACAAGAAAGGCCTTGGGAGGTGGGGATGACAAAAACTTTGTCTTAGGTCCTGGAGTCCTGAGGCAGGGCATTCACATGGGGAAGACGGACAGGTGACAGGGTGATGGTGTGTGTCTCTAACGGTTTCTACCAAAGCCAAGAGCAGGCCAAACAAGGACAGGCTAGATTGGAGAATTTACCCGGCTTGCGGTAAGGCCTTGCTGGCTGGCACCCCAACTCAAATACGGCAGAGGCATTTGGGGGTGAAGGAAAGCAGCAAAGAAATAATCCCCACCAGGCGCTTTCTTAGATGCCCATATATGCCAAAATGTCCCCATGGGACTTGAGATGCAGCTCAGTGTGGGGCTTTCCTTGCGTTTCTGAGGCCGGGGAGGGGCACACAAACACAATAACTTGCAAAATATTGAACTCATTTATAAGACAGTGCCCACATTTGTAAGTTCAGACAAATCTGAAATTTCATTTCTTCTTCTTCTTGAATGGGACTCCCTTCTCATACACATTCTCCGAGTTTCCAACTACCGGCATTTCAGGGATGAAAGGTATTCACAAAACCCACAGTTCCCACCTTAAAGCAGGGCCATTCATTTTGCCATGGCCCAGGGGCACAGACTTGGGTCACCTTGAGTAAAGTTTTCCAAGGTGGAATAAAGCCTCTGAAGTTTTCTTACAGAACTTAAGGAAGTCATAGATCAAAGCATTTCCCAAATACCTTGTTGGGAGCCTCCACAAAGCAGGGGAATCCCTGCCGGGATCGTGGGTGCTGTCTGATGACGCTCTCCACTTCTGGGCCGCTGGAAGATAGAGGTCTGGGAAGAATACAGTCCAAAGATTTTACCTGGTAGTTGAAAAGATGTTAGGTCAGACACAAAGGTGGCCTGAAGTTAACTCAAGAGAATTTGGCTTAAGGTCTGCCACATTCCGACTTTCCACAATCGCCAAGTTTGAATCAGTCAATCAACCTTGGAGAATCTTTAATGCATGTCTAGCTGTATTTTTTCTTCTGTTTGTGAGTTTCACCCCCACACTGGAATTTTAGCTCACAGGCATATTGAATCTATTTCACAAAAGACAGACTTTTGTTAAAACAAAAAGGAAAATGGTGTTCTTACTAAAGGACAAACTCTCAGTAGTCTCAGTGTAAGGTACGCTGGGGCCTGCTGTGACTTGAATCTGAAGGAAGTGGTGGCTGTGTAGGTTCCAAGCCTCCTGCCTGGGTATTGTGTCCCCCTAGGGGACCATTACAAGTCCTGCCAAGTAGATTGTGTTAGCTACAGAGGGAAGGCTGCCTTTTCTTTTTCTTTTTAAGTGGTGGGAAACCACAGAAGGCTTGGTCTAAGGGTTCCAACAACCCAGATCCTCACACTCACCCATGTGTCTTAGTTTACAACACAACGGACCCTGATGTTGAACATTCATCTTCTCTCTCCAGAGTTCAGCTTCAGGAAGTTGGGCTTATGGTCTGGTTGTCTGAAGCCTTAATCCAAAGACACCAGGAGTAAAGGTTTTTTTTTTTTTTTTTTTTTTTTTTTTTTTTTTTTTTTTTTTAGGGCAATAAATAATTTAGGAGTTTTGTTTGTTTGTTTGTTTGCTCATTTTTGGGTCTCAAAGGATAGAAACTTAAAGTTCCAAATTCATTGTTTTCTTTGCCAAACTTGCCCCATAGTGAGATGCACCTCACCCACCTCCATCACCCCCACCCCCATCTTCCTACCTCTTCCACCCTCCCCAGGAGACACCGAGGACAGAACCCAGAGCTTCGGCATGATAGACAAACACCCTGCTGCTAACTTACACCCTAGTTTTGTGTCCCTTCCCACCGCTGTGCCGAGGCTAGAACCCAGGGACCTGTGCATGGAAGGGGATGAATTCTTTAACCACTGAGCCTCACCCAGCACACGTTTTGATTTCTATCGAAATGTCCTACAGCAGCGATTGTTCAGTCACCCAACGATTCACCTCCCATGAGCACCAACCATAGGAACTAGGTGAGACTTTAAGTAACTGCTTACCTGTGACATAGATTCATTTAAATTCAACCAGATTCAGAGAATAAGATCCAAATTCTCATCTTTAAGAGCCAGTGCCTAGGACTGTTGAGACGATCCAGTGGGTTAAAGATGTTTGCTGCTAAGAAGTCTTGCCTTGTTAAGTCAAAGGGAACCTGATACCTCTAACTTCATTCAGAAGCAAGTGTTACCCTGATAACAAACCAGATGAGGTGTAACAAAAAAGAAAACTATAGACCACTTCCTCTGATAAATATTGATATGAATTGATATGAATTTTTTCCTTTCCTATTCTTTCTTTCTTTCTTTCTTTCTTTTTTTTAGTTTTTTTTTCCAGTTTTTTTTTGAGACAAGGTTTCTCTGTAGCTTTGGAGCCTGTCCTGGAACTAGTTCTTGTAGACCAGGCTGGACTCAAACTCACAGAGATCCGCCTACCTCTGCCGCTGAGTGCTGGCTACACAGAGAGACACTATATAAAAAAATCAAAAGATTATTTATGATAGAATTCTAGCCAATAAGCAATAAGCTGGGTGGTTTTTTTCTCAAAAAAACCCCCAAACAAACAAACAAATAAATAAATAAATAAATAAAGGATTCTAGCCAACATTATAGTGAACATTTTGTTTGTTTGTTTTGGGACAGAGTTTCTCTATGTAGTCCTGGCTTGATCTGTAGACCAAGATGGCCTCAAACTCATAGAATACTAGGTGTAATTATCTGTTCTGTCCCTTTAAGAGACAAGTCAAGTCCACTCCCTCCTACCCTGTCCACTGAGGCAGGCAGATCTTCCTTTCTGTTTGCAGCCTGAGTCTCTTCCTTCTCTCTCTCTCTCTCTCTCTCTCTCTCTCTCTCTCTCTCTCTCTCTCGAAGAGGCAGCTTCTGACTCTCCCCCCTCTCTCTCCCTCTGTCTCTCTTTCTCTGCTCTTCTCCCCTTCTCCCTTTCCCCTCCATAACCCATTAAATAAACATCCAACCTCACTCTGCATGGCGTGCCTATCCCTTTGCCCACTGCCTCGTGGCTCCCTGCCTGGGACAAGCCACCTTTGGAGACCTGCGGTGTGGTCTCTTGCGCACTCCCTGCCTGGGACTGGCTGCTCTCAGGACCTGCTACCCACTGCCTGCCACCACATGGCCTGCTGTCTGCCACTGCTCTGGGGCCTGCAGCATTTCTGCCACTGCAGCTACTCGGGGATCTTCAGCATTTTTAATTAAACCATTTCACTAGGGTTAAAGGTATATACCACCACCACCCAGCCAACACACCATTTTTATAAAAACCTTTTCACAATAGCTTCAACATCATGCCCCTCCCCAAAGAGAACCTTAGGGTTATGTCTGACTAAATGGGTGAAAGGCCGCTGAGGTGAGAACGCCAAGACACGGAAGGAAGAAACTGAAGTAGAGACAAAGAGATGAAAAGACACCCCCATGCTCATGTCACCCCCGTGACAAGATTAATGCCACGAAAATGACTATGTTACCTAAAGTGGTCTACAGAACCAATGCAATCCCCAGCAAAACTCTGATGACACTCTTCGCAGAACCAGAAAAAAAAAAATCCTACAATTTAGAAACACAAAGATTCTGAGTGGCTGAAGTAATCTTAAACAGAAGGAGCGGTTGGAGGAGTCACAACATCTGATCTCAAATTATACTACAGGACTCTAGTAACCGAAACTGGAACAAAGCTCACCCAGGGGACTAGGCTAGGCTAGAACAGAACAAAGCATAGCGGCCTGCAGAGATGGCTCAGAGGGTACACGTGGCAGCCACCAATTCCCGTGACTAGAGTTTGAACTCTGGACGCCACACGGGTGTGGAAAACATTCCACACCCGAGGTCTGCATCACCATCCACCTGGTATGGACCGCGATTCCATACCTTCCACGAGCTGGGTAAGGTCCTAGGGGTTAAGAACAGAGACACACACACATAGTCTGGGTCATCTGATAAGAGATCACCGAATGCCAATTTATTTAGCTTAATCCAGGGTTAAATACTTTTGCCCCAGAAGAGGAGAACCCCCTCCCAGCCAGAGGGGGATGGGGAAGCTGGCGCCAAGTGAGCTTCTCCGCAGGCAGGTGGGCGAGGGGTGCAGGGCAGTGTCAGACAGGGTAGAGGGATCTTGGTGCCTGGGCTCTTCTGGGCAGGTTGAGAAATTACCATTTTAAAGTAATATAAAGCCCTAGGCTATTTTACCAGGCTAGAGCAGAACAAGCACAGAACTTAGCAGGAAGCTTTAGCTGGTTGCCAAAACAATCCTTGATTTGCACCAGGCCTTATACATGGGGAAGAGACCCACCTGCTGACAGTTATTCTCTGATCTCCACGTGGCATGCCCATGTATGTGCACACATATATACACACACATAACAGGTGTAATATTTATAAAGAATAGAACATAGTGTCTTAAGTTGTGGGTCATGACCCTCATTAATGAAAGCGAGGATCCAGTGTGGTGGTGCACCTTTTAATCCCAGCACTCAGAGGCAGAAGCTGGAGGATCTCTGTGAGTTCAAGGTCAGCCTGCTCTATAGAGCGAATTCCTGGAGAGCTAGGGCTGAATAGTGAGACCCTGTCTCAAACAAAGAAACAAACATAGGATGTGATGGTTGCTAAAATAATTAGCAACTGGAAGCTTCTAGATGTACACCAGCCAAAAGTAAATTCAGAATCAAATGTGTGGTGGATCTGAGGCGCTTTTGGCAGAGCTCCCGGTATCACAACACACAGCTGTGCTGCGGCCGCGGCTCTGAACACACGACACGCGTGCTTACTTGGCATCGTGAGTGCCATCCCGTCACACCACGTCAGCGGATGCTGCTTAAAACACCTTGGGCTTAGAGTCAAGCCCAGCTAAAAACTGCAGTGTTCTTGCTGTATGTCCAAGGTGCTCTCACCTTACAGAAACAACGGCCTTTTTATGGAACATGAAGACTGTTGACAATTTTCTACAGCCATTCCTCTGCACGCAATTCCCAAATGAGTAAATATTTGGATGGTGTTTTGGTAGAAGGCTTGATTTTAAAATCTGCTACTTTAGTTAGGTATAGCAGAACACACCTTTAATATCAAAACCATACACTGGAGGACAGCCGGTCATGGTGGTGCACGTCTTCAGTCCAGCACTCAGGAAGCAGGGGTAGTGGGATTTCCATTAATTTGAGGTCAGCCTGGTCTACAAAGTGGGTTCCAGGCCAGTTGGGGCTACGTAGTGAAACCTTGACTCACAACAACAACAACAACAACAACAACAACAACAACAACAACAGCAAAACAAATTATAGCAGAAGTTGACAAGCACGTGAGGGAAGAGGAAGCCTTCTGTGCTGCCGGGAATGAAAACTGGTGCAGCCCCTGAGGAAATGAGCCAGGCAGTTCCTCAAAAAGCTACAAACTGAACTTCCAAGTGACCTGGCTATGCCTCTCCCGGGTACATACCAAAAGGACGATAGCCGAGACACCACAAGGGTAGCTGCATGCTTATTGCGGATCCGGTCACCATGGCTGGAAACGGAAGCTGGCACGATGCCCATCACCTGATGAAGGGATATGCAAAATGTGGTACTCAGAGACAATGGATTTCTCTCAGGGATAAAGAAAATTTGATTCATGGTGCTGGCGAAACAGGTCAGCAGGTAGAGGCTCCCAAACCTGACCACCTGCGGTCCAGCCCCAGGACCCGTGTGGTGGAAGGGAGAATGGACTCCCACAAGCTGTCCTCTGACCTTCACCCAGGTATCATTCCCATGCACACCCACACCCATACCCTGCCACAACTCGATAAATAATAAGTACGTGTATTTTAGTTTATTTTTAAAGGGCACTGGACTCTGGAGGCAGAGACAGGTGGATCTCTGTGAGTTTGAGGCCAGCCAACACACACAGAGACTCTGTCTCAAAACAGAAACGTAGTTCAGCTGGTAGAGTGCGTGTCTAGAGCGTGTGAAGCCATGAGTTTCATCCCCCAGCAACACAAAAGCCAGGTATGGTGATGCTCGCTCTTTATCTCAGCATTCAGTGCAGTGGGGGGGGGGGGGGAGTAAGGGGAGCAGAGAGAAAGAAAGGATAATCAGAAGTTCAAGGTCATTCTCAGCTACACAGCAAGTTCAAGGTCAGCCTGGGATAGGGATGCCGCCTCAAAACAAACACAGACAAATAAAAAAGGTCTGTGTTTGAAGGCACAGCCAGGATCAGTAAGCATCTTGCCAGGAAAGCAGGTGAGATAAATTTATCATGAGGCATTATTTTTTTTTCCTGTCTCCCTAGGGCTGGGATTAAAGGTGTGCACCACGCCACCACTGTCCCACGCGAGATAACTCCTCAGGAGATTTGGTGGAAGGAGCTGAGGAAGTGGAGGGCAAGGCCAGGAGCTGAGGAAGTGGAGGGCAAGGCCAGGAGGCACAGGATCAGCAAGGGGCAGACACAGCTCCCCAGAGAGGACTGTGATAAGGAAAACTGCCACACTGGTGGGTTCTCCCCCACACTGGCGGGTCTGGGGTCTGATGGGCTACTGAGTCAGCAGCACGGGCAGGGTTTCTGAAGCCACCCAGAGCAGAGCAAGCGCAAGCTCACCAGCACGGCTCCCTACAGTAACCACGACGACCTTCAGCGAACTGCTGCCTCATTTCTGTCTTCCTGATCTGACAAAAATTCCTCTTCGGGTCAACACTCACCCGAAACCATTCAGGGGAGGGGATTCTGGGAAACTGCTCTAATGTAGCAACGTTCAAATACTACAAACCACAGAGCTGTGTAAAATGTGAACCTGAACGGGATCCTGAACCGTGAGAAAACCTACAAAGATGGGAGGGGTCCTTTTGTGGTTCTAAAACTCGATGTTTGGGTTTTTGTTATGGGGTAAGGAATCCCCCTCAAATCTTCTCCACTGTCAGCACATTATTACCTGTATGCTGGGGTGGGAGGATGGTGTTGTTTTCGTGAAGTTGCAATGATTTTTTTTTTCAAGACAATGTTTTTCCGTGTAGCCCTGGCTGTTCTGGAACTCGCTCTGTAGACCAGGCTGGCCTCGAATTCACAGAGATCGGCAGCCTCTGCTTCACAAGTTCTGGGACGAAAGGTGTGCGCCACCACCCAGCTCTGCAATGAGTTGTGTATGAGCTAATTTTAAAGAGATGATTTAATAGGATGAGTCTGCATTTGACCATAGCCTGGTGGTTGTGTAAGCGAATGTCATGCTTAGAAATGATATACTTGGGACTGGGAGACTGTACAGTGGCAGAGTCTTATCTAGCACCTAGGAGATCCTGGATTCAAACCCCATCACCAACACTAAGATGAAAATAACTTGTTTAGACCAGGCATGATGCTGTTTGCCTTGAATCCCAGCAC